TCCATCCATCCATCCATCCATCCATCCATCCATCCATCCATCCATCCATCCATCCATCCATCCATCCTGTCCTGTTTATACCACTGCATTTGTGAGATTCTTTCAACAAATTTCAATAACTAAGAGCAAAACAATTTTTAACATAACAATATCCAACGTAGGATTAAAACCACTAACATTGGACGAAGAAGTATCAAGAAACATCTGTTGTGTGATAGGCTAGAAACAAATGCTGTTGCAAGGGTGAAAACCTAAACTTTGAACAGACAAAAGAAAGCAATAAAAAGATCTCAAGAACCATTTGCAAATATTGTTCTCTAGAGGAAGAGTGATCGCTTCTCGTGTGTCCCAGGTGTCTAGATTTTTTCTGATCAAGTATTAATTTAAATCTTAGGATTCAAGTCCGCTTTTTAAAACAAATTCTCCAGAAAGACAGATTCTAGAATCAGGATTCCCACTAACGTTTTTATTCATACAAGGGGAAGAGAAAATATGAATGAGCCAGTCAGCTGAGATGTTCTACTTTTCTACGTGTTTCTAAGGTTTTATATCCCAAATGAATATTGCTGAGTTCCTTCCTACCCGTTTCGTAAAAATCTGGCTGGCTGTACTTCTAAAAGTCTTCCGTAAATGAAGATGTGTTTGCTCAGAGCAAGATCAATAACCAAGTGTCTACTTCTGGATTCAGATCAAGGACACTTGCCTTAATAAGCACAAAGCATAGTAACTACTTGGCTGGATCTCAGCCCAGTCCTGTAAAATTCAACCTCCTGTTTCTAAGAGTGAGCCAAATCCTCTAGAGAAGGTTAAAAATCTACACTCTTTCATCCAAGTTATCTTGACAGGAGAGTAAGGGGGGAAAAAAACCCCTTCTTTTTCAGAGTCCAGGATGCATTCCCGATAGCTCTCTGAGAGAGAGCAGGGATGGTATACAAAGGAAAGTTAGAAGAGGTTAAATGCCAGTGAACAAATGCAATGTGAAATCATATTGGGAAATTATTTTTGCCGGAATTCTCGTGGATGGCGTAGAAAACAGCAATATATCCTTCTTCTTTTGCGTCAATTGAATCTTGTCAGGTTGAAAATAATGAAGGCAAGGGTGATTTGCATTTTTAGGTTTTACAGACCACTGCTTGTGTAAAATCAATGTAGAAGATTTTTAAAGTGGATTTGCACGGTAAGGAGTGGCATATAAATTTAATGAATGGATGGATGGATGGATAGATGGATNTTGGTGTATTTCAGCTTCTGAGCAAACTCCATTCTATGGAGCCAACTTTTTTTTAAAAAAGCATTTTTTACTACCTATTTGCTCGAAGAGGTGGTTAAAAATGCTTTAATAAGTGGGAAAAAAGATTCAGTTGTGCTGTGCGATTGTGAGAACCTTTTTTTCCACATTTCAAAGCATTTTTTTTTCCTGCTGGCTCAAGGCAGGAAAAAAAAATGCTTTAAAAAGCCGGGTGGGGGGAAACGTCCCACGATTGTGCGGCCCACAGCTGAGCTGCGTGATGAGGGTCTCCAGCCTTCTGTTTTGTGGGTCAGGTAGATATGACTAGGAAAAGATGTCCTTCAAAGAATGATGAAGCTTTCCAACCTCCTCTTTTGTGGGTCAAGTAGATATGACTAAGAAAAGATGTCCTTCAGAGGGGGATAAAGCTCTCCAACCTCCTCCTTTTTGGGTCAGGTAGACTAGGAAAAGGCGTCCTTCAAAGATGATAAAGGTCTCCAGCCTTCTGTTCTGTGGGTCAAGTAGATATGACTAGGAAAAGACATCCTTCAAAAGATGATGAAGGTCTCCAACCTCCTCCTTTTTGGGTCAGGTAGACTAGGAAAAGATGTCCTTCAAAGATGATAAAGGTCTCCAGCCTTCTGTTTTGTAGGTCAAGTAGATATGACTAGGAAAATACATCATTCAAAGGATGATGAAGGTCTCCAGTCTTCTGTTTTGTGGGTCAGGTAGATATGACTAGGAAAAGATGTCCTTCAAAGAATGACGAAGCTGTCCAACCTCCTCCTTTTTGGGTCAGGTAGACTAGGAAAAGACGTCCTTCAAATATGATGAAGGTCTCCAGCCTCCTATTTCGTGGGTTAGGTAGATATGATTAGGAGATGATGTCCTTCAAAGAATGATGAAGCTGTCCAACCTCCTCTTTTGTGGGTCAGGTAAATATGAGTAGGAAAAGATGTCCTTCAAAAGATGATGAAGTTCTCCAATCTCCTTCTCTCCCCACCCCCCCACCCCTTTCTAGCTTTCGAAGACCTTGCAGGAGAAAGGCTGGCGTGTGGGAGACCTCTTCCAGGCAGTCCTGAAATACTGTGAAGCCATGGAGAAGTCTAGCGATGGGGACAGGACCCTGGGAAGCCCAACCCTCTTCAGGTGGCTTCAGGAGAACGTCTGAACGATCCGGAGAAGTTTCTCCTTGAATTCAACTCTTGAATCCTCATGGGGGAAAAACGAAAGAGAGAGAGAGAGAGA